TTCAACATGTTGCCAAAGAGCACCGGATCACATGGCTTGAAGTGACTGAGCTGCAGTAAGGAGCCGTGATGAGCCCTTCCCTCCTGACACCTGTTAGCTGTTAACAGACACCAACAAGTGGCTGCGGTCGGACCTGACCTATATTTGTCATCGGGAACGGTGCTTGTAGTTAACGGGACCGCTGGCTTTTATGACCTTTAATTCTATCTTCTGTGTGCATCATTAAAAAGGCAGGTGAACTTCTGGGCACTGGGAAAAAAAATCAGGGGAGTTTAATGAGATAAATGATGCCAGTGTCATGTGCTTATACTGAACATAAAGCTGGGACCATAACACTACTGGAACAACAACAAAAAGTGCAGTAATTGAGTTTTACAGATGGTGAAACTTTGGAATTTGCTAAGCTAGCAGGTTTCCCCTGCTCCCAGTCCTGATGCTAAGCTAACGTGATTTGATGCAAAGATATGAGATCGTCCTTCGTCATATGGCAGCATGACTCCCTCAGTTTAAGCGAGACAGCAGCCAATCCAGTGACTGTATGAGTTAATCAAGCTCAGCAGATCAGTATTTAAGCATTGAAGACTGTCGTTTAGATGAATACGGAAGCGCTACCGTAGGGTGAGAATCCAGGCAGTTAGCTCGTTTTTTGGACCATTTAATGTTGTAATTTCAGAGCAAATTACTCCAGATGAGGTTTCAGTTTGAGAAAGAACTGCTTTGGAAAAGTGTTTGCTATGTTGGATATTTAAACATCGTAAAACGGGTGTGGTTCAAACTGCGTATTTGCTAACCAGGCTCAATATGTATGTCTGTAGTATATAAAACACTCTGGTTTAAAATCTGGCCCTCCAATCTTTTTACTGATGCATTTTATAAGAAAAGAGACGGCGCCTGTTTGGTCTGGCAGCTCAGTCTGACCACCACCTTGGCGTTTTGATTCCTTTATTGAAAACCTAAATCTAGTTTGGAAAGCTGCGAGAGGATACAGCGCTTTGAGGGATCATTAACACAGGACAGGTTTCCGACAGCAAACAATGCAACCACAGTGTTGTGCCGCCTGTCACCGAGCCGGTGCAATAAGTGCTTTTTCTTCAACTTCCTTTTTCTCAAGCGACAGAGAATAAACCGCGGAGCGCTGACAAGCAAGCTAATGGGAGCTGCATGTGACTGCATGTGTGAATGTTTGCAAGAGAGCAATGGCATGTAAATTTGTTTAGATGTTTCTCACCAGCCAGCGCCAGCGTTTTCTGTGACACCCACTTAAACTGGAGAAAAACTAGACATTCCTGTTCCCGTCCACTGAGGACCACGGGGGCATGGCACCCTCCGATTGTATCGTACAAGTAGAGCAGAGAGAGGCAGCGGGGTGAAGAGGTGAGAGGTAGAAAGAAGCAGACTTGGAGAGAATGTAAGCCGCAAAGAGAGACAGATTTAACGGGGGAAAAAAAGGGGGAAAGAGTGGGTTAAACCAAGACAGACAGTGGTTTATGTGTGTGGAGGCTGAAGATAAACTGCTGCGAGCGTCCAGACATTCAGTCTAAGTGGGAAAAGTCCTCTTGGCGATGTCTGCGAGGAGATGACTGATGTCGGTGGAGCTGCTCGGTGGGCTGACTGTGTGTTTGCGTGGATGTGTGTGTGTGTGTGTGTGTGTGTGTGTGTGAGAGAGCGACGGGGAATTCTTGAAGCAGCTTCCTGGAGTCATTGGGATTTTCATGCTGATTCGACGTGTGCGCTTAGACGAGTCTGACCTTCATGTGTGTCAGCAGTAATGTGTGCATGAGTAACAGTGATGTGACTGACTTGTTTATCAGTGTGTGTTTCTAGTCGTGTGTGAGCATTTTAGTGAGACTTCCGTGTCTGGACCCTTGAGCTCCAAGCATCATCGTCAGTAAACTCTTGTCGCCATGCAAATCAGAGATTGTAAAATCATGAAGTGGCCACAGGTATTTACGAGGCTGTTGAAACAGAGTGTGTGATGGATATCATGTGATCAATTGACAATAAAAAAAAAGCTTGAAGATTTGATAATAAAGTTTTGGCACGATTCAACAGGGTGAATTTTTGCACTTGTGTTGCTGAGTTTGCAGCAGCGCCACTTCCTCGACATCTGCCCACACAGTTGTGAACTTGTGAGTCCAAATGAATACGTACTGAGAGCAGTTTGGGGTTCGGTGATGATTGGTGGCTTTTCATCTGCACTGCAGTCACAGTCAAAGTAAATAAACACGGCACTTTTTCTGCTTCTGTAAACAAGACTGAAACAAAACTCAGAATTTCAGACATTTTGAATCCAGAAAAGGAGCCATGTGGTGCCTACGGTTCTGTAATTTGCAATTTAATTTGAATAGCTTCCACATGGCACGCCCCCGACCTGCGTGGGCCTCAGTGCAAAACAACGATTTACGTCGGCCAAGCGACCACGATGACATGTCCATGTAATCTGCAGCTCGGTGCCAGAACATGAGGCTTTCTTTCTTTCTTTTTTTCCTCTTATTCACTCACATCTTTATGGGAAAGCTGAAGACCAAACAGGAGAAACTCGGTAGCAGATTTATTTACTGACCAACAAAATCCATCTACCGCCACCTCTGGAGCTCAATACGTTATCGACTAGTAATTTAAATCCGTACAAGATCCAAACCTTTAATGCACGACGCTGGGATTCTCAGCAACGGAGCAAACGAATGTTATTCACACATTGTCAGACTATTGCTTTAGGGACGCTGTACATTTGTTCCTTCACCCAATGCATTGTGCAGGTGTTTCCTGGTTGAAACTTGGGATGGGAGTTTATCCGATAAAGAAAGCGAGTAAATGCGTTGTGCACAGCTCAACAGAAAATGAAATCTGGCAGTAAGGTTACTCACTGTATTAAAATAGCAGCTGCATCTTCCTCACACACGGGGTGGCGGCGCTGAAATGTTATTTGGAGAGTGAAGTGATGTAAAGCCTGTTTGAACTTTGGTATCGGTTCCAGTAACACTTGACTCGTAACCTCCCCTGTGTGATTTAGTGCTGCCCGTAAGTGGGCACCTTGTTTTATAGGCGCTGCGTTTGACTGAAGTCTGGCACAAGCACATTCAGACATCGCTCTACAGATTAAGGTGAAGCAGGTTCGATCCAAACACTTGGCAAGCAAACACGTGTGCACCCACACAGCCAGGTGTATTTGCAAATCTGCCTTTGTGCTGGCATGTGTCTGAAAAACACCCAGAGGCACAAAAACACTGTCGAACACAGACTGACGACACACACAAGTCAGAGCATATGAATACGGGCTGTTATTAACACCCGCAGTGACAAAGTGAACGAGGAATTAGCTGTGTTTGTGTATAATTGTCAACCAAATTTGAAGCAGACTTTTATAATCCCACAACCTAAAAAATAAAAAAGCTAATTAGGCTTGTTTCCATAAACCGACTTCATGCAGAGGAGTCTTTCGAAACTGTTTTCAATTGGGAAAGCTGTTATTCTTTCAAGTTTGCTGGTATTGCCCGTTATTAATGCCGTCCAGAGACGAAAGAAGTTATTCGAAAAAGGTGTTTCCATCGATTTCCTCAAAAACTCTTCTTAAAAACATCAAACAAAAGACTTCAAAAGGCACATAGAAATACAAAACATGGCTGTTGTTGGCCGCTTGGATCCAAAAAGTCTTATTAATACTGTATGTACATGTTCCTGTAGCACCACCACTGGCTACCTCTCTGCAGATTTAAAGGAAATGAGCAAAACGTACAGATTCATACGACAAATGAGGTGTCTAACTTGAAGCTCTCTTGTTTCCAATCATTCATGACGGTTCTCCTGCACTCCGTCCATCATGTTTTACAATATTTTTCCAAGAGATTTTTTATGATTACTCACTGTCTGCGTTTTAAGGCTACACTTGAGACTGTAAATTACACGACTGGGTCAGTGAAAAAAGCCAGAACATGACACTGAAAGAGAAACCCTTCGTCTTTGTGTTGTAATTATTAACTGCATGGGCTGTTTTTACGAGTGAAAAGCCACCAACGTATTCCAATTAAATCATTTCATCCAAAAGCTTGATGATGGTTTAATTGAAATAATCTGAGTTCAGTCATTCAGAAACCTAAATCTTGTCCCTCAGCTGTTTTATTGGTGAACTGAGAGGTGCTGTCACTTCAGGAGAAACCATTTAGATGCTATCTTGTCAAGCTTTGCAACTGAGTTTGTTTGATTCGCCTCATAAACGGTATATATTTATTTGATTAGCGGTACTCCTTCACAGCTGAAGGTTTCCATTATGATGACAAATACAACAAATTCCTTCCACCCAGAGGTTCAGTTTGTGCCTAAGTCCCTGCAGATGTTTCTCAGCTCGTTGTAACGGAGCGGATTCCTTCACGCCTCCATCTGTTCTTTTAATTCGGGGTCAGCAAGGCCAGCCAAGCAGACATCTTTGAGAGGTAATAATACAAACGTCTAGTCTGGGGTTAAAAATCCTAATCTGGATTTTATCAGGTGACATCGCTGACATATTGAGTCGATCATCCTGGATGTAGGAGTGCCGTAATCCTGGAAACGGAGCGTTTAATTTCAATTCTGCCCTGTGAAATGCGCCGCACATTCAAAAGAAATATTACTTTTGGCCCCATTTTTCATGGACCGACGATTTTTCTTTGTAACTGCGGTTTCAATATGCGAAACACCTTCAGCGACGCCCATCCAAACGGTGAAATAGTGCCATCGAAATGTCTTAGATGAGGCTTGTTTTTGGTTTTCTAGTTTCATAAGTGTGTGCGAGACTTTAATTCCAAAATAATATCCACCACAGGAAAAGCATTAGACGTGCTTTGTGGGCGACTGGACTCGGACCAGTGTTGGAGGTTTTGGGATATTAGAAGCCATTTATCAAACAGAACAATAATGTTTCATCATGAATCAATTATCAGGTTTCTTTCTCCAAAACAGGTGCATGGAAACTTGGAATGCATGTGTGGGTGACGTAGTTTTTCTGTTTTGTGTTCTTTTTCTACCTTGGAGATGTACGCTTTGATGCCTTCGGCCAGCTTGATGCAAGGCTCTCCGAAGAGCTGGGCCAGCTGGTCGGGGATGTCCTGGTCCTTGTCCAGAGCGTTCAGTAAACTCAGGCACTTTAACTCCTCCGTCACTCCCTGGCTACGCACCTGAAGGACGAACAGGGAACAGAAAATCAGCTGGGCCGGAAATGATCTGGAGTTTTACTGCTTTCTAACAAAAAAACCAAACAAAGAAACTGATGCGTCATGGAGTTGTTTATTCCTCCAGCAGGTGTTGAGCTTTCAGGCTTTACACGCTCAGTTTGGAATCAAAACCAGCTATGTTTGTCCAAATCATAAAAGATCTACACCAAGAAAGTAAATGAGAACTCCTCAAAGACAATGCAGCCTGTGTTTCCCCTGTTGTGTAACTTAGTGAGAATAGTAACGCTTACATAATAAAGTGTCAGCTCAAGACGGACACAAATGTGATTTTCATCAGATATTGGAACAATTATCACCAGTTTTCCGTCTACTAGAAATACAAAAGAGCCTTCTGAAAAGCTGCAGATCCTGTGAAACGCCTGCTGTGGCCCAAAAAAGCCACACAAAGAACAACAAGTAGTGTTATACATTTTCTCCTGTGCGTTCATCTCAACATCACTACATTCATTTATATTTCACTGCCCACTTAATAAGTCCATGCACATCATTTCATCGAACAAGCCGTCCTCTGGTGTACCATCTCTCTTTCTGCACTTCCTCAGTCTCATCTCATTATGCACTCGGCTTCCTCCTGCATGTGTTTCTCATTTTCACCTTCTTCTTTGTTTCTTCTCTTTTGTGTTGAATGCGTTTGTGCTCGAGGAAGAAAACTTTGCATAAGCAGGAGGCAATAGATAAAAAGAGGCACAAGGTTTCACGGGCAAATGGAAATGGTAACTTCTCACAAAAATAAATCAAACCACAAGTGCTTTTTTTTGCAGCAGCACTTGTTCATATTTGGTGCACATGCCCTTAAATGTGCTTTCACTCTTGAAGGGTAACCGTCCGTGAAAATGAAAGACAGAAAAGTGAACATTAAATGAAAGTGGGCACCGAAACCACCGGAGATCAAATGTAACCAAAACATTTTGGCACACATGGACCACTGGGTCTGGCAGCTGAAACGCAACCCCTCATGTTACGACAAGCATCTCGCTAAAGGGATTTTCCTGACCTGAATGAGCGCGAGCAGCCCGTCCGTATCAGAACCTCTAATAAGAGACAATTAAATTAACAATTCCTTTGTGGGCAAACTGTTTGTTTTCTGTTTTTTCTACACCTCCTGTTTGGCAGCTAGAATGAGAAATGTTTTCATGTCGGTTTACGCAGCACTAGACATCTTTGGGAACTGAAATGTACGGTGGAATTATGTTCATGTGTGCGTATCCTTCAGGGAGGTTGTCAGCGTCACGGTCTGAAAGCCCTGCTAATGACTCTATAACAAGCGCTGATGAGGAGAGAGAGATTACAGAGCTGCACTCCTTCAACCCCGCTCTTTATTTTTATTAATTTCTTTCCGCTTGACCCCCATTTTCTAATGAAACCCTTTCCCTTTGTTTTCCTTCTCCTCTCTTTTCTCTTCCCCTTTCCCAGCCTTGCCTTCTTCCCCAGCGATACGGCTCATGTTGACGCCTGAGCGGATCTCCCTGTCCCCACTGAAGATAGCGCTGTGTAAATGAATTCAGTCCAAGCGGGAAGGACGGGCCACTTACAGGAAAGACTGGCGATATTTAGAAAAGAATGGGGCCACATGTGAACACGGTGCTGAGAGCATGACTCACGTCTTCAGCGGCTTCACATGTCTATTCAGGGATCATTTAAATGAGTCAAATGAGGCACACATGTCAAACTTCCAGTCGGCGTACATTCCAGATGCAGGTCTGTGTCTAGTTTGAGGTCAGCTTTAGGAGGCTCATAATATCAAATATGGTCAAAATTACAAAGTGCACAAAGCCGAGAGAGAGGCTTCCCCAACCTTTTGAACTCTGCGTGCTCCCAAAACCTGAATGTGATGTTGTCAGTAAACCCGGCACGCTCAAGCATGAAAGTGGAAAAGCCTGCTTTCTAATAAAATATGTGACGTTGGAAAGTCCCGCTAATTTATGGATGTTTTCTTCCTGCCTTAAAATGGCTTGAATGCATCGTTGGTTTCTTAAATCCCCGCCTCGCTCTCCCTGCACCTCTCCCAACTCGCTGCAGCTCGAGCACACCAGCTCACGTAAGACTCAAACACTGTGAAGCGACTCTACGTGACATCGGAGTAACTAATGCTGGAGCTGGACGCTGGTTCTGAAAAAGAATGACGACAGAGAAACCTGCAGGGAGATCACAAATAAAATCTGGATGTTTGTTTTTGAGACCGTCATCCAGAAACTTGATTTTTACGGGAGAGGGATCTCGTTGGTTGGAGAACATTTTAGAACATTTTGTTTCCTGTTGCAGCTCCACAGTCACGAGTATTTTCATGTCATTCCCACTTCAGGAGACACTGATTTTAATCACTTTACATATTCTTGAATAGCGTATTTTATAGCCATGTGTCGTATATCACTGGTTTTATGTGTTGGTTGAAGTTTTGAGCTGAATACCAACTGTGAGTAAAAGTGAAAACGGGAACAGTGTGGCCATAATAAACACTGAAGAGACGGATTCACTCCTCCCTGTACTCCCCTCATTGTCTTTCAGTGTTGCGATGAGAGAAAAGGAAGCGCAGTAGGTCAATCTGCATCACCTGCTTACAATTAGGACACATCCCAACAAAAACTGCTGACAGCGGAGTCTGGGCAGAGACTGTTTGCCTTTTGTGAGGAGACGTGTGATGACAGCGACTAGAAGTGATGGGGAGGCTCGCACATGCATGAGTGGATCTGAGCTCGCTCGGCACAACAAATCGCGTCGTTTCTTTCTGCCGCCCGTGCCAAAACACACTCCCTGCTTTGGTGGATCTGGTCGGAGGATTAAATGTTATTGAGGAGTGTCTTTGTGTACGAGAATAAAAGATTGAGTTTAACAGGCCGTGCGTTTGTGCGAGTGCATGTGCGTCCATTAGGTTTTGACAGCGCTGGTAGGGAGTGTTTGATCTATTATGGGAAACAGTCTTGTCCATTTTAGCGAGGAGATAAAACCCATGCACATCACTGCGCTGAGCTACAAACAAGATTAGAAGTAAACTTTCTGCTCCATTAGTGTACAGAAACAAGGCCAGAGGCTAAACCGAGAAATATTATCACCAAGTTAATGCACTTTCTCGTTCTCTGGATTTAAACTGCGTGAGGAAACTTCTCCGTAAGTTTAGAAAGCGAGAGATAGTGTTATATCTGAAAGTATGACAGTTTAATCACGCAACGTAATGTCAGGACACCACATGTCCACGTTCTAATTCAGCTGTGCAGCTTTCGTTGGATGCAGCACTTGCTGTTTTGTATTTCACGGCTGTGATATAATTGTTCTTTTTCTTGCCAGTATTGGTCCGAGTCATGCAAACGGGACGAACCTACATGATGTCACGCAAGGGAGTGGAAACATTTGGTTCGTCTTTAGCCGTGTTTTCATGTAATTGTCTCAAAGCAAAACTTTGAAATGAAGAAGTCACTACCGTTCACTGCTTTGGAGCTCAGTTCTTACACGTTGGGCAGGTTTTAGTTTATTGTGTTGCTATTTAATCCTAACACACAGTACAGCTGAGGTTGACTGTCATGTTTCTTTTTCATTTCTGTTTCATTTCTATTTTGTTCTTTATTCTATATTGCACCGAAGGAGCTGCTCTTAATCTCATTGTACATGTGTATAGTGACAATAAAAGCATTCTATTCTATTCTATTCTATGTCTGTTTTGCAGGTATTTTATTATAAAAAATACATATATTTCAACCTGCTGATTGCACGGAAGTGATCACAATTCATCCTGACAGGCAAATGAATAAATGCACCAAATTTAGTTCCAATTCATCCAGGAGATCTGGAGAAAATGTAAAGAAAAGGACTTGGATTGGTACCAAGTCGCGGACTGACCAACCAACACTGCATCCAAAAGGTCTTTGTGGTCAAACAACTCAAGAACTTTCAGGCCCATTTGAGGGCAGCTTAGAGAAAGACATTTCAACCCCGAATTTATTTACACTCACGTAAAAATGTGCAAAGTTTCCTGTTTCTGACTTTAAATCCGGTGGCTCTCCTCCACTCTGTCTGCTATCTGGAAGTCGGCAACACCACAGAGCCACAATGACTCTTCTTCCCTCCAAGTCTGGCCTCCCGACTGTGTCTTTTCCGTAATATTTCATCTGCTTTACTGAGCTCATCGAACCCCGTAAGCCAAACTCTGCAGCTCTCTTGGCTTTGGCGGAGCAGTTTGTCTCCCACAAGACTATACTGTCGCATTGTTCCGTCATTGATTGGCGTCACAACCAGGCCCAGTGAACTGAAATCAGATCTTCATTTGAGCGATCGTATCGGTTATTTTCCTCGGCTTTTTGGTTTAGTGAAATAGTTGGAAACCGGGGAGGAAAATGTGAACTATTCTGTAGGCCAGTGCAGACATGCACGCCTCCAGAGATGGGGGTCTCAGCCTCTACATCATTCCCATGCCTTGGGAGCGTGCATCTGGAACTGCTCCTCAGGTTTTAAACATGAGCAGTTAGAGGAGAACCCGTCGCCCTTGTCTTCGCGCTCCGCTGACAGCTGCTTATCTGCCAAATCTTCCCTCCTCTTTGCCAAATCACAGAAACTGCAAAACTGGCTCCTTTAGCTATTCTTTCTTAAATAAGTTACACCCGAATGATTCAACATTAACAAATCACTGAAGTGTCAGCAAGTCAGCCTCGGCTCTTGGATTTATTGAACCTCTTCTTTGTGTGTTGTAGAAATTACTTCTGACAAAGATTTGAATAATTACATTTAATTCCCAAACAAAGGTTTAGAGAGGATTTGTAGTATAACTAGTAGCCCATAATCTGCTCTACAGTTGTGCTTTTGTTCCTTTTTTATAAAAAACATACTTTCAGATTTTGGGAAAAAATAACCTAAATGGTGGAGGCCGCACACTCGTCCCCTGAGCAAAGTATTTTCTCGCTGCGCTGACATCAATGACTTGTCCTTCCCTTGGCTCCGAAGCAACGAGTCCGCTG